CTCCTTTTATTACAACCAAGTTCTTTGCAGCCTGTTTGCTTTTCGTGGGCACGGATGTTGCCCGTCACAAGTTAGACAGGACACAAGTACTTTTGAGATACTCCAGAGTTCTGCTGGCATAGGCATGTAGGTCATGGTGGCTAATCCCCTAACATAAATGCAGTTTTTCTAGCCTAATTTTGCTTTTTTTCTTCAGTCACAGTACCTAATCCCCTAACATAGATTCAATTTTACTAATTTTGAGGGGGTTTAATCTCTAAATTCTGTGGAAAGCAATGCTGTGGTTGTATGGTGGGCATTCACAGCTGTAGGACTGTATGGGTACGTCACACCACTCTCCCTATTTTGGTAGCATCTTCCAAGTATAGTCATGACAAAAATATCTACCCTAGCACTGCCCATGCAAGTGCAGGCAGCTCAAGTATAAGTCAGGCATCATGTGGAACTATTTGTACATGCAAACCCTGACCCACAGTATTATTTGCAGCCCTCCACCAGATATCTACATTTGACCCCTCAATGTCAACAGAAATGTCTGACTAACAGAACCTGGTTGTCATCTCCTTTCATTATCACAGGATTTTCTTGGGCCTTTTTTCTGTTCTTCATATTCACAAGGCTAAGCTTCCATATTAATTAAATGTCAACATTCACTAGTCTGAGACTATGTTATCCAATAAATACCTGCCTGAAGCCAACTACAGGAAGGGTGGAACTCGCACGATTTTTAATACAAATTATTTGTTCACAATGTTTGATCAAATTAATCAGTAGCAGAATAAATGGGGGCTGCAACCATGTCTGAAAAGGATGTCCAAAACAGTATTAATGCTGCTGTTGTAGCTCATCTCTCCACTTTGCCTCCATTAGCCCCCATTTTGGGGATCTTCACCTTCCTCTGGGCCAGAGCTGCATTGTTGTCGGTATGCACAGCAGAATAGTTAGAGATAGTAGGAAGCCTCACACAAACTGAGTCTTATTTAGATTCCATATGGTTCTTTTTCTTTTCCAGGTGTCGTATTTTAAATTCATGTAGGATTTTTAAAAAAAAAGGGGGGGGGGGCCTTTTCTCTCACTTGGTTTGACAATTTTAGCCACTGGCTGTAAGAAGCTCCCACGGGCAGATATTACTACCCAGGTTCCCGAGGTGAGGAAGCTGAGCCAGGGGAGGGGAGGAGCTGCAGGGGAGCGCCGCGCTGGGGCTGCCCTTAATCTGCAGAGATAAGCAGCGCTTTGGGGCAGGGCAGAAATAGCGCCTGGTGACCCAGGGCTGCCCGGAGCCCCGGGCCGCTCTCCGCCGAGAAGAGAAGCATCTCTTCCAGGCAAAGGCTTGGACTGTGCCCCATGCCGGAGCGCTCTCCCGCTGCTGGGAATTAATGGCTTCCGCGCAGGAGGAATGATACTTTCCTCATCAGTGCTGCAGATGGAGCTCCAAGCAACAGCCAAGGCAGGGGACTCCCACCTCCTCTAACCGGAGGCAGATGAAGCGGGTGCCCTGCACGCAGAGGGTTCGGCAGCGATTTCCCCAGCCCCTGCGCCATCCGGCAATGTCAGCAGCCATCCAGCTGCTGAGAGCAATGGTGAGCCCAGGCTGTGCTGCAGGGCTGGAGGTCCTCGTCAGGCTCTTTGAGAATTCTCGCCCTCCACATGCTGGATGCCTTCCTTTGGATGGGCTTTGCTGGGATTCCTGGGAGAAGCAGCCTCAAGGAGCGCCTGCTGCCCCTGCAGCCCCCCAAAGCACGAGGTGAGCGGCTTCTGCCACGCCGGGACCTTGCAGCCCCGAGCCTCCGCCGCATCCCAGCTGGGAGAAACTCATCTAATTGTTTGTTGTTGCCTTTCCTTCAGGGGAAGACAAGGCAGCTCCGAGGCAGAGTCGTGCGTGTGAACGCAGTGCTGTCCGTGAGTCTGGCTGGCACCTCCCTTGTCCCCTGCACCATCCCCACCCTGCCTCAGCTGTGGCAGAGCTGAAAGCAGGGGGTGGCAGCGTCTCACACACGGTGCTCCAAAAACCCTCTGAAAGGACCCGGCATTTCAAAACAAAATGCTACCACAGCATTCTCATTACGGTTCCACGATATGTGTATCACAAAACCTGGCAATTTTAATGACAAAGTACTGCGATGCCACCAAGTATTTTTTTAGAACTAATAAAACCTCTGCAGAATATTTCCCTGGAATGTATTAGGATCCAATTTCTGCATTCATTAGTAATATCAACTAGAATGTGGATGGTTATTTGGAAAAAATGCATTCGATGCAAATTGATTTTGTATTATCAGGAATAATGTGGAGAGAGGCTTTTCCAGCTTATTGAAGCTTCAGCCATTCAACTGCTTGCTGCAGTTTATGCCCTAATCTTGTGAGATTCACATAGCATTTTAATTTTCAGTCTTGCCTGCATTTTTCAGCTGAGGGATTCTTATTATACTTTAAATTAATTCCAAATTCACACCGCAACAATAGCAAAAAAATTGAGCTCTGGCAAAGCAAGAGGCCAAACATGACTCAATTAAAATAATATGTATCACTATTAATCACCTCTGCCTGTCCGTCTACATTCCCGTGGTGGTGCCTCCCTCTGCAGCAGCAGCATCTGCGAGAAAAGCCAGCTCTCATCCATCCCTCTGCTCCTCCCTCCTCCCGCCGCCTTCCTGAGGGATGACGAGAGCCCGGGAGAGTGGGAAGGAGCACAGGGGGCAGTGCTGGGAGAAGCCCGGGCTGAAGAGGAGCCAGGCCGGTGCTGAGCCCTGTGCCGGGCCCCGTGCCGGGCTGCCCTCCCCGCCTTCCCTGCTGCCTTGGCAGGACTTGTCCGGTGCTGCCGGTGGCCAAAGCGGGCGCTCCGTGTGTCCGGCCGCCCGCCGCGGCAGCAGCAGCCTTGTGCCAGGGCCGCCTTGTCCTCGGATTTGTGCAGAGCTCAGCTGGTTGCCAAAGCTTAACGCTTCGCATTATTATTAACAGTTAATGCACATAAAAATAAGGCAGGACTGATGACAAAGAACAAAAGCGGAGCAGTAATAACCGCGCTCCGCAAAACAAACCCCCCCAGGCTAAGCAAGCCCAAGAGGGCAGGGCTCCTGCACAACAATTTGCCACCAGCCAGCCATCAGGTTAATCTGAGACCAGGCAGGGGCTGGCAGTGACAAAGGGGACACTGGAGACTGAGGTGGGAGGCCTGACCCTGGCTGCCACCTCCTCAGTCAGTCCCTGCCATGGTCCACGGTACAGCAAGCGAGCTGAGGTGCAGGAACAGGGTGAGCTCTGGGGTAAGGGGCCCCCAGAGCCTCGGCCCAGGGCAGCTGCTAGCGGCTGGAAAACAGGGTGATGAGCTGGGGGTGTTCCCCTTGGAAGCAGCCAACAGACTGCTGAGCCCCAAATCTGCTCAGTGCGAAGCACCACCCCACCTGGCTGTGATGGTCTTGGAGGCCAGGTTTCACACAGGCCACTTGGACCAGGCTCTCCCTTTTCTGTGCTTTATGCAGTCACGGCATTTGCTCCAGATGGGAACATACTCTGCTGGCTCCAGCCAACAGAGCCCTGTGCCTACACGGGCAGTGGAAGCCCTGCTGCAAGGGACAGCCCAAGCACAGCAATGGAGAGCAGGGCCAGGGTGTCTCTATGTGACAGAAAAACAGAGCCACACACACTGCAGACTTGCACTAATGTGATTTTGAAAGGCATGATATGAGGCTGGTATTGGAATGCCTGTCCATGAAATTATGAGATTTTAGAAGAGTAATCTTATTGCTCTCCTGTATCTGTCTAGCCAACAGCTAGACAGGTTCTCTTTTGGTTCTCTTGCCCCCAAAATCATTTAAATGTGATCCAGGAAGCTTCTGTTGAGAAGAGCTTTGGTGAGGTCTCAACCTTTGATAGAAATGGCCAGGACTGTGGGCACAGGAAGTTCTCCCCTGTCTTGTTCTCCCCCCTCTTCTCCTCCTCTGTGTCAGCTTTAGCCAGAGCCTATAGCACAGAGACAGCAGCCACCAGAAACCACAGCCAGCTTGGTTCAAAGGACAGCGAGGAAAACCACGCACCAGTTTACAGCAAGCATACGTGTTTGATCTGGCTGTGCTAGCTGCTCACAAAGCGCCCAGCCCAGTGCGTATGGGCTTCATTTCATTTGAATAAAAACACTTTGGGTAGCCATGGAGGAAAAGAAACAACTTGCAAGAAGCGCTTGCTAGTTTCACAAGAGTAATCACTCATATGAAACTGGTAACAAAAAAATGGCCCTGTAGCCAAGCACATCAAACTTCAGCTTGACTAATTTGTGACTGGTTATCTCTTTGTGAACGGTATGTTGAATCTAATCTGGGGAAAAGTGGGTAATTAATGAATCAGTCAATGACACCAGCTCAGTTAGGGACAAAGCTCAGTATCTCTTCTAGCTTGGGACTGTCATTTGTTGCAAATGATCAAACACCTAAAGAAAGAACATATTTGCTGAAAAATGTACTGAGCCAGGCAGATCCAGAAGCATTTGCAACACAGCTGGGCTTGGCTGCTTCCCTGGGTTACTGCTGTACCACAGCTTTCCTCTACTGAAACAGCAACACAAGATGACGCATCAGGCAGGTTAGTACTAAAAGAAATTATTTTTCTCTCCATTCTCATTGCTGAAACTGCTGGGAGAGGCATTTCCGATTTCCTTCTGCAGTAGCAACTCTGGCCATCATGTAGTTTATCTGACCTTTGGCTACGCCACACCATGAAATCAGACACCGCTAGGAGGGGGGCCAGAACAAAGCCTGGAGAGATTAATAAGAGCATTATTTGCAATGTGGCACAGGGCCATGAGTCACCGTGCAGCCAGGCTGCTGCACCTTCTGGCTACAGGAACAGCCCAAGATCTGCATCAAGCTTTCTGCTTACAAAAAAAACCTTACAAAAAAACCCCAACCCCCCCCCCCCCCC